ACAATACAAATGAATTATGTCTTGACAAGTATCAAGATTACAAAAAAACAAGAGAAGCACCGACAGGAGAATGACTGTTTTTAAAGTTAGAGGCAGATAAAGAGTCTGTCTTTGGTGATAAAAGTTCTATTTATTTTAACCGAAAGAAAAATCAAACAGTCATCACCAGAGATCATGAAAAAAAACATATTTTTATCTTGAAGAAAAAAACAGTGTTTTATCCTTGAGTAAGCTAACAAGTCCTAACAAGCTAGCATGCTGCTACTCCTGTGTCAAGGCCTGCAAGGCAATGGGCTAGCAGCTAACTGACACTTGGTGAGTTAGCTAACAACTGCACTACAGTGTACATTTGGCATATATATATATGTTTATATATATATAAAAAATATATATATTTATGTGTTAGTATTAGTAGTTAGTATCTCAATGATGATACAGCAGAATGCAGACGACCAGGGTTCAACTCTCAGCCTCAGACAACACTGAAGTCCACCTGTTGATGATTCCATAGTGTAGAGGTTATCTTGCTGGCGTACACATCTGCCTAACAATGGAAGGTCCTGGGTTCAAGCCCCAGAGGAGCCACATACTTGGAACTTCCTGTTGCAGCAGGTTTGCAGTTACCACAACAATTTCCCCATCATTATTATCATTATTATCTTTACTGGTACTATTCCACTCTGAACGATAAAAAACTGGTGCTTGTTTAACCTGGAAGCATTTTCCAATGTACGCAGGATGTACACATAATGAACTGTAGAAAACTGTTGCTGGTGTTTTTGATGGGATGAAATGGGTCAACCTACACTTTCATGTCGTCCTTTGTCTTTGTCTTTGAATAGAAATCTTGTCCAAGTTTCTTTTCTTCTTGTCATGACAGAGGTTACTGCACTCTCTCATCTGTGTACATTCTACTTTCATCTGGTATTTATGTGACTACTGGAGATGTATTAAATGTGTTAGTATAAACATGGACTTTTTTTAAATGAATTGCAGTTTTAAAGCAAAAACAGAGTTGTGTATGTGGAGGTATCCTGCACATGGGGGAGGATGGGGAAAAAAAGTTCCAAAAAGGCAGTGAGGCTCCAGTCTGTCTGATGACACATCTCTGAACCAGGACTCCCACAGGAAGTGACTCCACAACCACTGGTCATTAAAGAGGCTGGTCTGCCCAGGGAGGTGCCAGGCCACGCCAGGGCACACCAGGAATTCAGTGGGAAACACACACAGGACACACACCCAGAGGGGCAGACTGATACACACATGTACACACACACACACACACACACACACACACACTGGTGTCAAATGTTTTTAGATGGATCACAAACTTCCTTGACGTGTTACTGAGGCAGATATGTGCTGAGCCTCGTTAGTCAGTCATCACTCAGCTGGAGGATCACAGTGACAGTGAGGTGTGGTAACACACACACACACACACACACACACACACCCTATCTTACGCGAGCTCTTCCAACACCTGCACACAGGTGTGATCATTATCAAGCAAACAAGAAGAGCGTGACTGGGAACTGGTATTTAATCCCACAGCTGCAAGGAAATGCCTTTTGCCTGTGTCTCCCTCCTTAGTTAGAACAAAAATCAAAAAGTTTTTTTTAATGATCTAAATAACTATGCTTTTCTAAGAGTATTCTTAAGATTTAAAAAAAAATACCCTCAGTATTCTTTCTTTTTGGTAGTGGCTATATGGCAACTGCTAAAAGGAAATAAACGCATTTGAAAAAAGACTTACCTAAATGACCTAAAATGTGAATAAACTTTTTTTTTAAAGATCTTAAATATACCATTTAATAGAGAACATTAGAGTAAAGAGAAATGTTGCTGTCCTAAAAACTTGACCTGAAGTGTTTTCCACTGACCAGAAACTACATCATCCAAGTTCTGCTAAATGATGTCGAGTGTTTGTAAGAAAAAAAAGTAAAAAAAAAAAAAAATTATGAACGCTGTGCAGTGCACATGGCTTTTCTATTATCTCTCCCTGATCCCTTTAACTTGTAATCTAAGTGCAGTTAAAAAACCAGCAGAGCAGAGCACGGCTCGCATCACCACAGATGTTCCACCAGTGTCAGCCCGGCTGTCCTGTTCAAACTTAACTACCATTGGGAGCCTCGCTCTCTCTCTCTCTCTCTCTCTCTCTCTCTCTCCCAGCCTTAGCAGTAGCCCATAAAAAGTTTTTTTCAAAGAAAAACTTTCTTCTGTCGTTTTTTTGCACTCTGTCCTCAGTCGCAGCTGACAGGGTGGAGGGAAAAAGGGAGGGAGGCCAGAACAATGGGAGTGCGGTGCAGGGATTGTGGGAGAGAATCTAGGCTGGAGCCACAGTGTCTGGAGCGCCCCTCCATTCCCCTCATCCAGCTTTTGTTTAGCTGCAAAAGCTATCAGCACTTCCTACTGACACCAACAATAACTACACACAGCTGGGCTCTTTTTAGCCTGTTTACAGCACACGAAGGCCGGGGCACTGAGGGAAGACAGAGGGATGAGGCAGAGCAGGGAGGAGGAAAGTGAAACATATTAGCTCCTGATTTTATCTGACACACAGCCAG